ATTATAATTATAATATCATATTATTAAAATAATTATAATATTATTATAATATCATATTATACGATAAAATAATAATATTATAGTTATTAATATAATTATGATATTATTTGTTACAATATTTCTATTATATTACTATTACATTATATTATATTATATTATATTACGAGTCTGAATTTTAGATTGGGAAGATAGTCAATTTTAAATTTTATTAGGAGTATTATGAAAGTTTCATTAATTGTACTATGTTGATTCTCGCACAATCTAAAAGTTAAAGTTGTCTTTAGGCTGCTTTTGATTTTGGCTGTAAATTCTTAAAAAATTCTTCAAAAAATACTTTTGAGGAGATTAACCAAACACTAAAATCAGCTTATGCTACAAGCAGAAACTGATTTTAGGATGAAAAAATAATACCAAACTAATCCAATATCTCCATACAAAAGTAGGAGTTCAACAAGTAGGACGACAAAATTGAATGTTGACTTATCTAGGGTATGAACTTTTTACACAATTAACATATCATGGTATATATTTGACGAGATCCATAACAAATAGTATACTTTCCAGATAAACTTAAACTACAAGGAATATTTACATAACATTTTCTTATTTTTATTTTAGTTTATCATGAGGTGGTAATTTATTGGTATTAGCACTTCATTAGTATTAACACCAAGTATGTGTTTATCACAATTTTTTTAATGATATTTGATTAGAACATTAACTTATTTGTATTGACAACATATTTCTTAATTAGCATTAAGTAAATACATAATTAATTGTATGATCAGTATCTGTTTTATCTTTATAATAACTATCCTTATATGTTTATGAAATCTAATTTGCAGTATTAACGATGACTATAATTAATTTCATGATATTTAATTGGGCCATTCATTGGTTAGGATTAATACTATATTTTTAATTTAACAAGTAAATACCTAAATAATTATTTCACACCAAGATTTTCTTATTTCATTAACCTCCTCCATCATTATTTGGCACTATGTTTTTTTTTTTTTTTTTTTTTTTTTTTTTTTTTCTTTTTTTTTTTTTTTTTTTTTTTTTTTTTTTTTTTTTTTCCGTTGTTGATGTGGCCTTTCTTTAATGTTGTTTATTCATCTTAACTCCATATTTAGTGTTAAATAACTACTTTTTTTTTTGTGGCCAACTAGGCTACACACCATAGCTGATAATGATATCCCATGAAACGACATTACCACAATGGTTAACTTTTCAGTTAAATTAACAACAGCAATTCCAGCTTTATACATGCTACTACGCAAATTATATACTTATACCTGTTTAGTTTACTAATTCGAGTTAAGATGTGACTTTATATGAGAATTTTTTATTATAATAAAAAAATTAAATGTGATTATTTTTAAAAAAATTTTACTATAATAAAATTTAAATTCTAAATTCTATTACATTCTAAATTTAAATCGGTAAAATGAACTGAATTATATTGTACATAGGCTACATGCTTAAACACGAAAGTTACATTATTGTCGTTTCAGTGTTGTTCTTCATTCATTAAAAATACTTTCCCATATTATTATGTACATGTTAAATTACATAACTGCCACCTGCCACCCTCCCGCAAGCATATCCACATGCCATAATCTCAGTAAAAGCAACCTTGCACATTCAACAACTTATCAACATGTGCCTTCCTAACTTACCATCTAAAATAATTAAGACGGTTCATTTTACTTATTTAAATTTTTATAGTTAAAAATTTTTAAAAAATATTATATTTAATTTTTTTTATTATTAAAATTTTTTAAAAATATCTGAGTTTATGTAATCCGCTATCAGGAGACCTTACCTATTAATCATTATGAGACAAAGTATTTATGTTGTAAATCAATTGTTAGTGTGGATACCAACTTGAATTCGAGCCCCCCGCCAACGTCCCACGACCAGCCCAGCATCGTGCCAACCACCAACGTGCAACCTAATCACCATCGACATCCGTTCCGTGAAACCTAGACCCTACCTGCCTCTGTCATGCGAGACCCAAACGCCACCGGCCTCCGTTGCACGAGACCCAAACCTAGCCGGCCTCTGTTGCGTGAGACCCAAACCCCACCCCACCAGCCTCCGTCGCTCGAAACCCAGATCATGCCAGCCTCCATCCCATGAAATCCAGACCCTGCCGGCCTCCGTGCCGCAAAACCCATAAATAGCTGTCATCTGTTCTACGAAACCCAAACCCCATCACCCTCCGTCTTGTGAAAGACAGACCCCGTCAAGTTCGTGTCGTGAAATCTAGACCTCGCCAGCCGCGAGAAGGAGAGGGAGAGAGAGAGATCGCGAGGGAGAGTGATGATTATTTAAAAAAAATTCAATTAATAAACTTATTTCTTTGATTTTTATTAATTTTAAAATTGTTAGTATTTATATATATATATATATTGAATGCAATGGTGTGAAAATTATATTCTCTCAATTTTATAATTTTAAATATTTAAAATTATAAATTTTAAAAGAAGAAGTGTATTATATTATTGTGTGCAACCAAACGCAGTAAAATGATATTCTTGGGAATTTGAGACAAAATTCTTATACTTAACCAAACGTGACAATACATGTTTTCTGAGAATCATATTACCTACTATTACTTTCTCGGTAATATAATCCCTACTTATTACTGCATACCAAACACCCCTTAAAATTCTCTCTTTTAACTACGCTTTGTAACTTATCTTGTTGTGTTGTTTTGGGTTTGTTTTATAACACGTTATCATCATGAGTCTATAACTATTATTGTATCAAGAAAATACAATAAATTTTGCAAGATTTAGAGATAACTCAAGATTCATATTTTGATTGGCATAATTCAAGGAGAAAGTGGTAATGATCATGTATATGTAAGGTTTTCATATTTGAGACGAGAAATACAGGTCAAACAATCTGAGGTCTATTTGTTTATATATGATTGTAAAAGTTCAGCTAGTCTAAAATGAATTTTTTGTTTGGTTGGGGGATTCATCCCCTGATTCGAATCATGATTCGTGGTTCGTTATAATATTTTCTCTCATAAAAAATAACGTAAATCGAAAATGATTCTAATCTCATGGTTCTAATCCATGAACCAAACATAAGTTTAGTTTGAAGTGTTTTCTGTGTGTGGAGTAATAAAAAGGAATCTTTTATATCAATCGTGATTACTTATAATTGCATCAGTTTTAAAGCGTTGGTTGGTTATTTGGCCCTTGGCTATCATCTTTTAATTTCTTGATGTATCATTTGGTTTGTGTAACTAATATATGTCTCTTCAAGAAATTATCAATTCTTTGTATTTATATATGTTATTATTAATAGTTGTTATACTAATCATGGTTGCAAATTTCGTCGAAATTTTTGAAATTTAGATTTTATGAGGTGACGAAATCTTTTTCCACCACAATATCGGTTTCGGTAAAATACCAGTGAAATATCGTTAAATATCAGTTTAAATATCGATTGTAATTTTTACAAAATGAATACCTGCATATGACACCCAATAAACATAATAAGCAAGAAAAAAAAGGGCACGCACATCTTAATAAAAAGCTTGAGGACTGAATTTGTAGGGGAACAAAATGAAACAACCATATTGTTCAAGTGTTAATTTAAGTCTTATTTTGAAGGGTGCATTTATTGTGGAGAAGGTTATTTTACTTCACCAGAAGGAACTGTGTTTTAACTATTTGATTAGTTTTTTAACAGTTTGATCTGGAATAGAAGCAATTTTGTATCGCGCACTGTAAGTTTTTAAAGCAGACATACACATATCTAGCTATTAAAAAATAATCTAATAGTTAAATACTACAATTCATATTGGTGTAGCAAAAATACAAGTCCTACCATTAAAATTCCTTATTTTGAATTTAGGCATCTAAGAATATGGATTTGTCTTCACTTTGCCCCATAAATGAAACTGAAGTCTGAACTGAATATTATTATATTGGACAAATAGCATGTTGCTCCATACTCTAAGTTTTGTCAAAAAATGCCCCTCAAACTTTAAATTTTAGTTTTCTCCCCCATTTATGTAGCTCTTGCAAATTGTCTTCCTCCACTAAATTTTTGGCAAAAAATGTAACATGAAATGTAAAAATTAACTACAAAACTTCTTATGGTAAGATTTTTAACAGAAATAACGCATACCAAATAAATAATGAGTGCCTTTGAATAATTTAGTAAATAATTACTCTATTAGCTCCTCTTCAAACACATGAAATGTTTATAAGATCAGACTCAAAATACCCCTGAAGAGATTAAATTTTTAAAAATACTAAATTTACCTTTCTCAAACTATACTAAATGTTATTTTAGATATTATTTAACTGAAAAGCTAAATAAAAATGTTTAAATTAACGTGTCAATCAAACAAATACTTCAATTATTTTTAGAGTTTTTTTTTTTTTTAAGATTGATTTTATTTGATATTTTGGTAAACATTATTTAGTAAATGTTGGGAAGGGTATCTTGGTATTTTAAAAAAAAATTAATTGCTCAAAAGGTATTTTGAGTCTAATTTTATAATGACATGAAATGTTTTGAATATTTACATAATAAGAGGTAAAAAGTGATATTTAAGAAAAATACATTGATATTATAGGTATTATATCTATTTATGCCAATGCTTCCACAATTCTTTATTTTATTTTATTTTTCTTTATTTTTCTTTTGAAAGAATAGAAATTTTTACAGTGAGTAAGCTATTTTGCTCATCAGCAGGGTAAGTAATTTTAACTATTAGATTATTTTTTTAACTATTAAATTTATTTAAGTCCATAATAAAAATTTACAACAAACTACACAGATAAAACTATTCTTACGAGAGACGTTTGATAAGAGTATTCATACATAATTTAAATAATAATTTATAGTTTGTTATAATATTTTTTCTCACAAAAAATATACATAAATTAAAAATAATTTTAATTTCATAATTTTAATCCATAAATCAAACCCGATGTAACAATAAAACACTTATTATTTATCGAGTAAAATAACTTATACTACCGTAAAAAGTACCAATTCCTTAATAATTGTTTGATAATAACACGTTTAATGTCCTAATCCGTACAAAGTATCATTACTATTAATATTGTTGTTTGTCTAATTCATCCCACTTGCCCATAATAAGCAACTCTCTCTCTCTCTCTCTCTCTCTAATGGGGACGGTCGCACTCAAGAACGAATCAGTCCATCGTCATCAGACTCCATCTGGTGGAGTTGATTCTGAGGAAAGCTTCATTCTTCCCTTTCACATTTCCACTGCTACATAACACGCACTCTCTCTCTCTCTCTCGCTCTCTAACACAACCTCGCCATGTCCATGGATTCAGGTACTTTCTCTGCTATCATTCATTTTTTCTTTTCGAATTCGGTCTCGCAATTCAGTATATGGCGATTCCAATTCCCTTTTTTTTCCTTTGTTTGGCAGACCAGGACGTACGAGAGCATCTACTGGTGGTAGACGGCGACGGCGGGGAGAACGAGGGATCGGAGGTGAAATTCCGGATCCGAGAGCTGAGGAAGTGGTCGGAGAGCGGAGATCCGATACTGAACGGCGTGAGCGTCGACGTTCCGAAGGGCGTGATCGTCGGAATCATCGGGCCGAGCGGCAGCGGCAAGTCGACGCTGCTGAGAGCGCTCAACCGCCTCTGGGAGCCGCCGCCGGGATCGGTCCTCTTGGACGGCCGTGACATTTGCGAGATCGATGTTCTCGATCTTCGCCGCAAGGTCGGCATGCTTTTTCAGCTTCCTGTTCTCTTTGAAGGTCCGGTAACTTTTTTTTTTTAATTATTACTATATCATTATTATTTTTGGTTTTATAAAGTTCATGTCGAGTTAATTAATTTAAAATTTTAATTTGAGTTAAAATATAATTTTATATGAAAATTTTTTATTATAATAAAAAAAATTAAATATAATTTTTTATAAAAATTTTTAAGTATAGTAAAATTAAAATTAAAAATAATAAAATAAATGAGTCTTAATTAATCTAAGGCCTCTTGATCTAATGACATCAAAGGTTTGGGTGGGATGGGGTTTGGAGGGAAATTTTAAGTATGTTTTATTTTTTTCTGTCATTTTTTTAACTAACGGATAATATTATGCACAAACAGAAACAGGGGTACTTATGATTTTTTACAGTTTCAATCTTTCCATTTAGATCCCAACTTTAAGCATAGATAGGATTAGATTTTTTGGGTGTTTGGTATGAGAATTCGTGTCATAGTTCGAATCATGATTCGTGATTCGCTACAGTATTTTTTTTTTACGAAAAACACACATATATCAAGAATGATTTTAAATCATAATTCTGAATCATAATTTTGAATCCGTAAACCAAATGTCTTTTTATGTTTTTGATGAGATTTTAGCGGTTAAACTTCGTTAATGGCTCCTCACAGTTATATTTCATGGTTAAACTAACTAGAACCAAAGTGTAATAGGAGGGGCAAAGAAGATAACCTATTTAGAAATATGCTATTTGTATTTACACCAATTTTTTTTTTTTTTAAATAATCACCTCATCATGAATGCCATTTCTTCAGGCACAGTTGCAGATAACATAAGGTATGGACCACAGCTAAGAGGGAAGAAGCTAAGTGATCAAGAAGTACACAAATTGCTTACTCTTGCAGATCTAGATTCCTCCTTCTACACAAAGGCCGGTTCGGAACTCTCTGTGGGTCAAGCACAACGAGTTGCGCTTGCTAGAACCTTGGCCAATGAACCCGAGGTAAACAGTCGATGTTTAACCAGACAAATCCGAAATATTAACATCATGACCTAGTTGGTTTACCAATTTTGCCTTCATTGTTAAAATAATAATAAATAAAATTATTATTGGCCCGCCACTGTTAAGTTTTTAGAATGGATTGATAAACTAACAAGATATTAGAGCGGGATGTCGTAAGTTTAAACTCCTGTAATTATATTTTTTATCCCCATTTAAAATTATCATCATAAATTGGGTCTTTAATATATCTCGAGCTTAAATATTCACGTGGTGGAGTTTCTAATTAATTTATCCACATGATGGGGAGTGTTAAAGTATAAAATTATTGTTAATCCACCTCCTAACAACTTAAACTTTTTGGTAAACTAACATTCGTTATCCGCGAAATTAAGGTTTTGCTGCTGGATGAACCGACAAGCGCCTTGGATCCGATATCGACTGAGAACATAGAAGATGTCATAGTGAAGCTGAAGAAGAAACAGGGGATGACGATTCTAATGGTTTCGCACAGCATCAAACAAATTCAGAGGGTTGCTGATGTAGTTTGCCTTCTCGTGAATGGGGAGATTGTTGAGGTTCTTAAACCCGATGAGCTCTCCGAAGCCAAGCATCCGATGGCACTAAGGTTTCTTGAGCTCAGCTCTTGAAAGCTCTCTCCTATTTTTATATCTCTGATCTTTGCTGCTGTTTGTGGAAGTTTAATCCTTGTTGCACACAAAAATTAGGATTCTGAGGTTTAATAAACTTTGTAATGCGCTTCTATATAGTAGCTAAACTCAGAAGCTTTTAGTTGCTTCTTTTGTTACCTTATCTTAGTCAACAATCCACATGGATCAAAATTCTTGGATAAATCTTTTTTTTAAACCACATTCCCAAACAAAGAGCTAATTTTGTCCTATGAAAAAGCTGGCCAGCCAGCACTCATGCTTAAAAAACCTGAACTTTTCTTTTTGTCACGTAGCCCTTCAGATTTCACGAATCTTGGCCTTATATCCAGTACTATGTAAGGCTTGAAGAAATCCAAGAAATGCCAAAATGGGTTACCCTTCTAGGCGGAAATTCATAGGCAAAATGATATTTCTGTACCCATTTTCCAAGTTCAAGTGCCGTCTGATTGCTATTTGGACGCCGGCAAGGACCAGAGTCAATTTAGCCTATAAAGACCAATTGTAGAAAACATCAATCCACACACAAATAAATCCCCTCCTGCAGCTCTCAATCTATTAAAAGAAGGTGACAAGAATGGCGGTGAAGTTGAAGGGCAGCTACACGGTGAAGCCAGCAGAGCCAACATGGGAAGGTCGACAACCTCTCTCGGAATTGGATCAAGTTGGCTGCATAACCCACATTCCGACAATCTCCTTCTACCGGCGTCCGCAAAACAGTCAATTACAACCCGAAACTCTCATCAACACCGCGCGAGAATCACTCAGCCGAGTCCTCGTGACTTTCTATCCACTCGCAGGCCGCCTTCGTTGGATAACCAAAGGCCGTCTTGAGCTCGACTGCAACGCAATGGGGGCTCGGGTCATAGAGGCTGAAACTGAATCGAAAATCAGTGAATTCATTGGAGAATTGCCAGAATATCATCATCTCATCCCAAAGATAGACTACACACTCCCAATCCATGAATTGCCTATAGTTTTAGTCCAACTCACTAGATTCTCTTGTGGGGGTGTAAGCATAAGCTTGTGCATATCACACGCCGTGGTTGACGGCCAAAGTTTACTACACTTCATCTTTGAGTGGGCCGCTCAAACCCGAGGCGAGCCGCTAATGTTTCCACCATTTCTCGATCGAAAAGCCCTCCGTGCCGGAATTCCCGCGGCAATTGCATCGCATTCTCTCGAAAAGCCCTCATTCAATCTCCCATCCCTCATAACGGAACAAGAAGAGGTAAAGGAAAAAGAAAAAGAAGCGAGTTTGGCTATTCTAAGGCTTAGCAAAGACCAAGTCGAGAAGCTAAAGAGAATTGCAAATCAGGGCCTAGAAAATAACACTGATACCAAAAACCGGGCCTATACTCGTTTCGAGACACTGGCGGGTTACGTGTGGAGGTGCGCATGCAAGGCAAGGGGCCACAAACCCGAGCAGCAGACTGCGTTAGGCGTGTGCGTAGACACACGCCGCCGCATGACGCCCCCGCTGCCGTGGGGCTACTTTGGCAATGCAATAATCGACGTGTTGGCGACGAGTGCTGCCGGAGAATTGACGTCTAACCCGTTGGGATACGCGGCTGGGAGGATCCAGGAGGCGGTCGAGATGGCAAACGGCGTGTACGTTTGGGGGGCAATTGAGTACCTCAAGTGTCATGAGGATTTGAGGGACTTTCAGGATCTTGGTGCGAGGTTGAGTGGGGAAAGGTTTCCTTTCTATAAGAATCCTAATTTGGGAGTTGTTAGTTGGTTGTCGTTGCCAATGTATGGGGTTGATTTTGGGTGGGGAAAGGAGGCTTACATTGGTCCTGGAGACGTTGATGGAGAGACGGCTTTCCTTGTTCCTTGTCCCAGTGGTGATGGATCAGTGGTTGTGGCTTTGTGTTTGCAAGCTGATCATATGGAGTCCTTCAAGAAGCACTTCTATAATGATGTCGTTTAGCTAGCTAGAGAGACTTATTGATGAGTTCGACCAAAAATTAATGGACAAAAAAATAACAAATCGATTAACCATGTTTGGGGTGTGTATTTCCTTGAAATCTTTTATACTGAATTATGTATAATTATCTTTTAAGAGTAAAATTATTTTGGTACACTCTGTTGTTATTGTGAAATATCTCACTGATAGTTTGTATTTTTAATAATATTAAAATGGTACATTTATTTTTAAAAAAAATGTTTTTTTTAGTATTATGAGAATATTTTTGAAACATACAATATTCAAACTGTCCCTTTTATTAATTAAATAGAAACCAATAACTTTATATTTATTTTATGAAAACATTTCAACTTAATTTTAATTTTTTTAATTTTCAAAAGTTTTGAAGTGTTTTCAGAATTTTTTTTAAAAAAAATTATTTTTTTGTTGTTAATTAGTGAGAAGGATAGAATGGACATTTTATGTCCCAAAGATCGGTCTCAGGGTACCAAAAGAACGGTTCTTTTAAGGTGAATATACCGTTTTAATATTATTAAAAACATAGGATATCAATTATCCACTCACGCACGCATGCGAGCCATCTCTTATTACCACTTTATCAACTCGCTCAATAGTATAGCGACTTATAAAGTGCTACTCCACTTCCTAAGTTTTCAATGTGTGACTAATAAATAACTTGGGTTGTCTACTACAACTAGGGCAAGCAATTCATGTTTGTCTGTCGTGTTCGGCTGATACGATTATGGCTCAACACGATTAATAAACGTGCTAGGAATCTAAACACGAACGCCGAATGTTTATTGTATGGGTAACACGACATGACACATTGACACATTTATTAAACATGCCAGGATGAATTGACACGAATAGAACATGTTTATGACTTAACTATTAAAAATGGTGCGTTTTTTTATGAACAAAAAATGGTGGAATTTTAATTTATATTCAAAACTGTTATTAATTGACTACTAAATATAATTTATAGTTAAATTTAGCAAGCATGTGATAAGAAAAACATAAATTCTTTAAATCTCCATGATAATTAACACACATATATATGATATTAGTAGATTACCATATATATAAATGTGTTAAGTGGGTTGGTACAAATTTAGCCTATTTAATTTTGTGTTATCCATATCAATCCATTAATGGTTCAATTAACTAACGTAAGTCTAAATTTATTTATCTCGTGTTATTTTCGTCTCATGTCACTGTGTCGTGTTTAAAATTACCGGCCCCAACTACAACTCTCTTTATATTTATAGTTGAACAATTCCAACAACAACATCTTCCTCATAAAACGACAAAAATGTTTAAAAAAAAGAATGATAACTCTCAACGACATCTTAGGTTCTAATTTGTGAGAGGCAAAAAAAAAGTTAAAAAAAATGCACAAACACAAAAAGTACGTTTATTTCACAACTCAAGTGAAGAATTTAAGCTACGTATGTGAGAAAAAAATACTATAATAAAAAGTTAAAATTTGAATTTTTATAAAAAAAATACTGTAGTAACAAATTTTAAATTGTGACTTGAGTTATGAAAAGAACTAAACGAAAAACATAACAAAACTAAAAACAATAAGAAAAAGGACAATAATAATTCAGACATCTTATTTTTCTGATTGTAAAAGAAAAAAAGAAAAAAGAAAAAACCCACACAATCACAAACAAATAAAAATTAAAAAGGAATTTCTACTTTCCTTAAAAAAAAAAAAAACAAAGGAATTTTCTCCGATAGAAATTGTACTCTTTTACCCTATATTACTTAACGATCTTATATTAAAGTATTCCCATTTTTAAGAGTGCGCAAACAAATCCGATCATTTAAGCGTGTGTTTGGTTCAAAGATTCGTGTCATAGTTCAGATAATGATTCGTGGCTCGTTACAGTATTTTTTCTCACAAAAAATACACGTAAATCAAAAATGATTTTGAATCATAATTCTGAATCTATCAACTAAACGTTAATCGATTTGACAAGTATTGTTAAAAAGTATAAGTGAGTATTTGGTTGGTGGATTGGGAGATTCAAATCCCGGGACCAAGGCTGAATTTGTGTTTAGAAGCCCAAAATGATTCTAGTGGGTTAGAAACAGAAGGGGTGATTGGGATCATTTGGGGCATTGATTTTGGAATCATGCCCCCTTTTGATTTTACCGTTTGAAACCCAACTGCACAGTGAAAACCACTGTGCTCTCTTACAATAATGCATCCCACCCATTTTCCACCGACCGCGTCCTTCCTCTCCCATGCTTGGGCAGAGAATCTCCAGATTTATTTTTCATTTAACTTATTATAATTTTGAGTTATAATTTTTTACATTTAATTTTTTCCTAATATTTCATTTTTTAATTATGTAAAATTTATATTTCTTTAAATTACACCTAACGTAATTTACACGGCCAAAAGTTGGTTCTTATTTTGGTAATGGTTCAAAATTAGAAAACAAGATAATTAAACACTAATTCGAATCACATTTCATGTTAGAATCAAAATCATGCCTATACACATCCAAACAAATATTTCAATCACCATGAATCATGATTTAAATCATGAATCCTAATTCTCTAAAAACTCAAATCACCCTGATTCCAATTCTTATACCAAACGAACCCTTAAGAGATGTTTGGTTCATGAATTATAATCAAGAGATTAGAATTATTTTCAATGTATGTGTATTTTTTGTGAAAAAAAATACTGTAACAAACCATAAATTATTATTTAAATCATGGTATAAATTTTTTTATCAAACGTCTCTTTTATTTTTTCAAATTGAAAGACGACTTGTTAAAAATAAAATAAAATAAAAATTCCCAAACTGAAAAACGACTCGTTAAAAAAAAAAAAAAAAAAAAAAAACTGTCTTCTTCAACAAACGACAAAAGAAATCTAACGGTCCTCAAATGGAATGAGGATCACCCCCAACAGAGACTACACTCTCCAGTTCCGTTCCGGATTGGGTTTGTCCGCAACTCAAAACTTCATCAATGGCCGCCGCCACCGCCGCCGCCGCAGCATCAAGGGCAATCTTCCGCCCCCGTCACCACCACCACCACCGGCTCCTCCTCCACTTCCCCTTCAAATATCGACACCCAAATTCTCCTTCCTCCTCCTCCTCCTCCTCCCGCCGCTTCCTCTCCTCTATCAAATCCTCCGCTTCCTCGTCTTCCTCCTCCAACGTCGTCTCGGTCCTCGAGCAACGCGGCCTCCTCGACTCCCTCACCTCCGACAACCTCCGCACCACCTCCTCACCTCTCACCGCCTACTGCGGCTTCGACCCCACCGCCCCCTCCCTCCACCTCGGCAACCTCCTCGCCCTCATCGTCCTCTCCTGGTTCAGCCGCTGCGGCCACCGCACTATCGCCTTAATCGGCGGCGCCACCGCCCGCGTTGGCGACCCCTCCGGCAAATCCACCGAACGCCCCGACCTCGACCCCCAAACCCTAGCCGCCAACTCCTCCGAAATCACCAATACCGTCTCCAACATCCTCGGAAACTCCGATTCCGTCCTCATTCTCAACAATTACGATTGGTGGAAGGACTTTAAACTGCTCGATTTTCTCAGAGACGTCGGGAAATTCGCGAGAGTCGGGACGATGATTGCGAAGGAAAGCGTGAAAAAGAGGCTTGAATCGGAGCAGGGGATGAGTTATACTGAGTTCACGTATCAACTTCTTCAAGGTTATGACTTCCTCCACCTGTTTGATAAAATGCGTGTGAATGTTCAGATTGGTGGGAGTGATCAATGGGGGAATATCACCGCCGGGACCGAGCTGATTCGGAAGATTCTGCAGGCCGACGGAGCTTACGGATTGACATTTCCGCTTTTGTTGAAGAGTGATGGGACTAAGTTTGGGAAATCCGAGGACGGAGCAATCTGGCTCAACCCGAAAATGCTGTCTCCATACAAGTTCTACCAGTACTTTTTCTCGGTTCCTGATTCGGACGTCGTGCGGTTTTTGAAGCTCTTGACTTTCATTGACATGGAGGAGATAATGGCGTTGGAGAGGGAAATGGGGTTGCCGGGTTACGCCCCCAACACGGCACAGCGAAGACTTGCGGAGGAAGTTACTCGGTTCGTTCATGGTGAGGAGGGTTTGAGAGAGGCTCTTAAGGCGACGGAGGCGTTGAGGCCCGGGGCGGAGACTAAATTGGATTGGAAGACTATTGAGGGTATTGCTGAGGATGTGCCTTCTTGCTCTTTGGCTTATGCTGAGGCCATTGGTCTGTCCCTGGTTGATCTTTCGGTTTCGGCTGGTTTGCTCGAGAGTAAGTCAGCTGCCCGTCGCCTGTTGAAGCAAGGCGGGCTTTACTTGAACAATGCCAGAGTTGATAGTGAGAGCAAGAGAGTTGAAGCGGACGATATTGTCGACGGTAAAGTTCTGCTCTTGTCTGCCGGCAAGAAGAACAAGGTTGTTGTACGGATTTCATGACCATGTTTGACCGTATGCAGGTTTTTTATCGTTCATTCTTTGCGTTCCCAAAATGTTTTCTCTATAGAGCAGACTTGTTCTTCGATTCATTGGAATATTTAAAACTTAAAAAGTTGTGGAGACTGTTCGATTTCTCCGATATCGTGTCGAAAGAAGTGCAATTTCTAAGGTTTGATGAACCTAGGAAGACCAAGTTTCAGGGCCAATCTGTTATAAGCTAGTTAGAGGACATCATTTTGAATTAGTGAATTAAGAAAATAATTCACAAGATTGAGTGTATGTTAGAAAAATTTATCAAATGGAAAACATCTACCTAGTACCATACCAATGTTTAGAACTTTGAGTCTTTAGTTTGTTCTATGTACATAGGAAATCTAAAATGATCCTGATAAGGGACCTCTTTTTGTCTGTTTTATTTTCAGTTTTAAGTCAATAAAGAGAAAGGAAGAATATACATATGCGGAAGTTTAGTTGGTATTTAAAACATTTTAATGTTTGTTAGCAGTTTTAATTTTCACATTTTGTGGCGAAAACTTGGAAGAGCTCTCTTATGAGGCACTTCAATATACAAATATAGTTGGTGGCTCAATGTAATCCTCAAATTTAGCTGCAAATCACGGCTGTAGCCATTCCTTCTACCACGCTATCGCTAAACCGTCTTCTCAGGTTCACGAAACTTTTCTTGTTATTTTGATATCCAGAAGTCCCCCGAACTTACAAATTCGTGAGTTCGAGTTTAAAACTGGGGCCCTCCGTTAACCTACAATCTTTGGAGGGCAAGAAAATATGGTCGTGTTTGGAGTTATTTTCGTTTTTGTTTTTCACATTTTTTGAGAAATAAAAAATGAAAACGAGAGAAAAACGGCATTTGGTAAAGACAAAAAACAGAAATGATAACGATTTTTTAGTTTAGTGTAAAATGACAGAAAAATAAAAAATGACTTTTAGTCGTTTTTCATTTTTTGTTTCCGTTTTCTCCTCTCTCTAGTAGAGAGAGAGAGAGACATTAATAGATTTTTTTATACTGAAAATAATCTCTTGAAAAAACTACCAAACGCATTTTTAAAAATGATTTCTGTCTGAGATTGAAAACATTTTTATTTTCATTTTCATATAAAAAATAAAATCATTTTGAAACGAATTCCAAACGCACCCTATGACTTCTATTATGTTGGTTCGAAACCCCACACCTTATAGGAGCAAACCCAAACGCATGCCCATTACATTCAATACCCCATGATGTTTTTTACAGTTAGATGGTCAAAAACGCATTTTTAAAAATGATTTATGTTTGAGATTGAAAACGTTTTTATTTTCATTTTCATACAAAAAACAAAATCATTTTGAAACGAATTCCAAACGCTCCCTATGACTTCTATTATGTTCGTTCGAAACCCCACACCTTATAGGAGCAAACCCAAATGCATGCCCATTACACCCAATACCCCATGATGTTTTTTACAATTAGATTCGGTCAAAATCACAATAAAATCTAAAATTATGCAAAACTGACGGAACAAGGATTCAACATTTTTGTTCCTCCAACAGAAGTATGAGAAGGGTATGTTGAGTGAAAATATTTATTAATGTTGAAATAATATTTCACACACAACATAATTTCACCTATCCTAGGATTTAACTAGAATAGGAGTTTATTATTTTTAGTTCGACCTATTCAAGATTATAAGAATAACCTCTTAATTACAATCCCTTGGTACAAGGGAAAAACCTTTTGATTCCAATTAAAATGGTAAATACTATTTTTTTGTGAATTTGGGAAATTTTGGTTGATTTAAAATTGTGGCTGAACTCAGTGAATTTTGTCGAGTTGCCTACGTACCCCGTTAAGGGATCAAGCCACTTGTAGTTCGAATTTTGGTTTTAAGAAATTTGGATAATTCCTCGGTATATGACCTTATGAGGAATTCACGCACTTTGAAATTTGATTTGGTTTTGTATTGATTTTATCTTTTATGGGAATTTTAGAATTGAATTTGGTCTTGAAACTGCACCTAAATTTTAGGTTGCCTACGTATCCGAGAGGGAATCAAGTCAATCGTAGTTCATGATTTTGGGTTTGAGAATTTTAGATAATTCCTCGATGTATCACCTTATGAGGAATTTACGCATTTTGAAATTTGATTTAGTTTTGTTTTGACTTTTTTCTTTATGGGGATTTTAAAATTGAATTTGGTCTTGAAACTGCACTTAAATTTTAGGTTGCCTACGTATCCCATTGGGAATCAAGTCAATCGTAGTTCTTGAATTTGAATTTTGGATTTTAGGGAATTCCTCGATATATGACCATAAGAGGAATTCAAAGATGTATTTGGATAATTTCCCGGTATATGACTTTATGAGGAATTAAAAGGATCCTTTTTGAATTTGGTGTTGAGATTTTTTTATTTGAATTTGGGATTTGAACATTGTATTAATCACCATATGATTTTATGAGACAATGAGCTCATCTTTTGAACTAAAGGACTATAGAGGGGCCTAATTTGTGCACTTTAAATTTTAAGATATTTAATATTTCGAATTATTTTTGAAATTGATCCTTTATCCCTTATTTTTTTGAATTTCATCATATCTAAACCGATTGATCCGATTGTATGATGTATATCCCTTTTTTTTGCTAACAATTTGATTTCAAAAGGAAGTTAGATTTCCCTCATCCTCATTCTTTCACACGTTTCCCTTCTTTTTTTGTGTGTATATATATA